TTCCCTTCTGCTTCCTTTTATTTTAAGCTTTTCATTTTCCTAAAAGGCTAATAAAATTTAACTTCCTTAAGCTATGTTTTTAAGTAACTGACCACATGCCAAAAGTATATTATGTCAAAAGTTAGAGAAACCTGAAGAAAATGCATTTTAGAATGAAATGTACATTTTAGCTGTATATATATTTTATGTTTATGACATTTTAAATCTTTATGCTACATTTTTTTTTGAGGGGGGGGGAACTGTTCCATATTTTCCCTGAGGGTATTTTATGGGCTCCTCTGTCTTAGGTCCACGCAAGCAGCATTCACTAATGCTTCCACGTCAACATTAGAAACACAGAAGTAAATACCCTGAGCTCAGAGCCTGGGGAGAGCCATCGCCCCAGCAACCATGGCAGTGGATGGGGGCGGTTAACACAGTTGCTGAAAAGAGTGAGTTAGGACATGTGTGTGGTTTCTCACTTTGCCTCAAAGATAAATATTGCCCAGGTTTTGATGGGATCTTCTCTTGGGCTACCGAGAAATCCCTCTTTCCTGTATGGGTTTGTTGAAAGTAGACCTGAGAGATATTCAACTAATGGTGTCTCCGTATTTTAAGGTAACCCTGGCTCATTCTTCTTTCCCAACATCAGATTAGTAATCAAGGCAGTGAGACTGTGGCAAGCAGTTTTTTAACCACTAAAGAAGGATTTTATGCTGAAATGAGATAATGTAACTTTTGGTTAGATCTTAAAGATGTGTGTGTGTGTGTGTGTGTGTGTGTGTGTGTGTGTGTGTGTAACACAAGTATACTTAAATATAAAATTATATGCATTGTATTATATATATAGCTTATGTATTTATCATTATGTAAATATAAAGATATAATTTATTTATACATACAAATTCATAAGTATACTACATACTTATCAGGTATATATTTGTCATATAAATAAATTTTATTTGTACATAAAACTTTATAGTTTCAAAGGCCTGGGGGGTCCATCTAATCAGTTCCCCAGAGTTGCATGACCAGAGGCAGGCCAAGGACCAGAATGTAGACCATCCAGTCTGGCACCTACCTAGTCCTCTCCAGAGCAGAGTTGCAGAAGTGTACTCTTTAATTCACAGAACAGTTTTATTTTAGGATTATTCAGAGAGCATCTCTCATCCCCCATTCTCATTCCTATTCCTGCCTCCCCATAGGAAACTCCTTAAATGTGTTTTAGACATATATTTAACTATACATAAACACATTTGTGTTAAACATATATGTTATTTTTCCAGATCTGTGTTCTTGGTTAATCTGAATTATTTTGTGGTCTGTGTCCCGCAAAATAATTGTCCCATTTTGTTTCTTATTATTTTTAACCCATTTTTTTTTTAAGATCTACATAGGTGGGTCTACTTTCATGCACCTAATGGTTGCACATATTTCAAGATGCACATTCAGCACATTTTTACGTATTCATCTCTTGACTGGCAGAAAATTAGAATATCTCCAAATCTCTGCTGCTACAGACAAGGATGATGAATGTTATGACTCAAGTCCCCATGTAGACCTGTTGCAAAAATTTCTCTGGACTTTATAACTCAGAATGTGGCTGCCAAGTCAGAGACTGAGGCGTACTTACGTACTGACTTCCAGGAAGGCTGTACCAATTTCACGCTATTACTGTAATATTGTTTCCCCTCGGAAAAAAACTCAAACTCAATATTATGGAAATATATACATATATATATACACATACATATATATACACACATATGTATGTATATATACATATACATATATATACACACATATATATGCTTATGTATTTATAAATATATAATTTATATATAAATTTATTTATAAGTAAATATATAATTTATATATAAACATATATAAATTATATATTTACTTATGTTATATATAATTATATATTATATATGTTTATATATTTATTTATAAACATATTATATATGTTTATATATATATATATAAATTTGAGAGAGAGAGAGCACAGGGGAGAGGGGCAGAGGCAGAGAGAGAGAATATCCCAATCAGGCTCCATGCTCATGCTCAGTGCAGAGCCTGACATGGAGCCCGATCTCCTGACACTGGGATCGTGACCTGTCGTGAAATGGAGTCAGAAGCTCAACCAATTGAGCCACCCAGGCACCCCAATATTATAGATTTCATAATTTTTGCTAATATGATGGGTGTAAGGGGTGCCTGGGTGGCTCAGTCGGTTGAGAGTCCAACTTCAGCTCAGGCCATATCTCACAGTTTGTGAGTTCAAGCCCCGCATCGGGCTCTGTGCTGACAGCTCAGAGCCTGGAGCCGACTTTGGATTCTGTGTCTCCCTCTCTCTCTGCCCCTCCCCTTCTCGCTCTCTCTCTCTCTCTCTCTCTCTCAAAAATAAATAAATTAAAAAAATTTTTTTTTAAATGTGATGGGTGTAAAATGTTAACCCATTTTTGGTTTAACTCTAATGACTTAAATAATGTCTTTCCACTTTTAGTTTCTCTGTATAAATATATTGCCCTCTCAAGTTTTCCCTTGTAAGACCTATGTAGATGTTTTGTTCACTTCTCTCTTGGTTCAGTGGTCTTCTTGTTGATGTTCAGGCATTCTTTGTCTATTGAAATATTAATCTCAGTAATGTCATCTCTAATCTTAGATGCCCCAGCTAATCATCTGTCTGTGAATTCTATTTATAATGGTGTCTATTGAATTTTCTATTTTAATGTAGTCAAACTCATCTTTATTTATTTATTTATTTATTTATTTATTTACTTACTTAATTTATTTATCTTTATTTATTTTTATAGCCTATATTTTGGGTCTTATGTTAGAGGCAATCTCCATGGAAATCCAAAGCACAGAGTTATTCTTCCATATTTTCATCTATTGACTTTAGAATGTTATCTTTCACATTTAGGTCTTTATTTACTGGAAGATCACCTTTATGACAGGGATTCAGTATTATTTTTATTATTTTTTTATTGAAGTCAATTTTTCACCTGCTAGATAGCCTATTCTTCTTCTCTTGGCTTGTGGGGTCAACTTTGATATTCATCAAGCTCATATAAGTAAATTAGTTTTTTTTTTTCTGAATTCTATGTAGTATTCCATTTGACTTTTCTTCCTTTCTGTAAGGGAACTAAGTTTCTGTTTGTTTTGTTTTAACTTCCAGGTTTAGAGCATACCTTAATTGTCTGGTAGGACAAATAAACCTCACCCATTTTTTATCTCAAAATTTCAAAATTGGCCTGGCAATTCTGAGGTTTTTGTTCTTCCAAATACATTTTTAAATAAGTTTGTTGAGTTCTTCAAAAATTCTTTTCTTATATATTTTGGAATATGTTTGTTGATGGCCTGAAAGTTTCTCTCTCTTCTCAGACTGGTTTTCAAGACTATCAACTGATTGAATCAGCCCTGCCCAAATTATCAAGGATAATATCCTTACTTAAAGTCAGTTGATTATGCACTTCAATCATATCTCTAAATTCATGACAACGTCTAGATTAGTGTTAGATTAAAAAGCTGGGGACTATAGTTCAGCCAAATTGATACATTGGCAAAACCATTTAAAAAACAGTTTTGGTTGCTAATTTAGTTTGTATCTTGTTTTCTATTTGATTATTGTTAATATAAACGAAGTATATTGATTTTTATATGATGATCTAAATCATTTTCTGAATTCTTGTATTCTAATAGTTGGTCTGTGGCTTCACTTTGGCATTCTATATTGATTATATCATCTACAAATAGTTTCATTTGCTCATATTGTCTGCAAATAATTGTAGTTATTACAATTCTTCATTCTTTTTCTTATCTTATAACGTTGGCCTATGCACCCAGTGATATGTTAAGTGGTGGCAAGGATAGCAAGTGTCCTTGATCATTCTCTGACATTAATGTATGTCTAAAATTCCACCACAAGTAGATTGCTTGTTTTAGCTGTGGTGTAATACCTTCATCATATTAAGGATATTTCCTTCTATTCCTAGTTTATTGAGTGTTACTTTCTTTTACCATAAATAGAATTTGACTTTATGAATGCTTCTTCTGCATCCATTTAGAAAATTATATCAGCCCACTGGTGTGTGACTTACACGTATGCATTTGTTAATGTTAAATACTTGTGTCTCTGTGATAAATAAACGCTAGCTCATTATTATTTTCTTAGTATAGTTGACACAAAATGTTTATTAGTTTCAGGTGTACAACATAGTGATTCAGTTTTTCTCTGTGTTCAAGTGTAGCTACCATCTGTCACCATGCAATGCTATAATATATACCATTGACTATATTCCTTATGCTGTACCTTTTATTCCCATGACTTATTTATTCCATAACTAGAAGTCTGTGTCTTTCACTCCCTTTGATCCATTTTGCCCGTCCCTCTACCCCTCTCCCTCGAAAGCCACGTTTGTTTTTGTATTACAGGTCTCTTTTAACCCCTAGCTTAATGTGATGTATTCTGTTTTTACTCTGCTAATTCAGTTGGTTAGCAAATATCTTTTTTTAATAATTTGTGTCTATGTTCATAGGTAAAACTGGCTTCAAATTCCTTTTTATTTTCTAGCCTTGTTTTATTTTGAATTTAAAGTTACTCTAACTTTGTAAAATATTTTGGGCAACTTCCCTTCTTTTCCTATTTTCCGAAACTACTTTGATAAGATAGTTTTTTTTTCCCCTTTAACTTTGGCAGAGCTCTCTTATAATACTTTCTGGGCCAGGGGCTATTTGTGGTCCATTTTGTGGTAATTTGTCATATAATAAGTAGGAAAGCATCGTTCTTTCACATTGGATTTTTAATCAGTGTTAATTGTACAATTTTACAAAGGGAAGAAAATACCTTTAGCTTTAAACTAAGAATTAAGAGAGTAATTATTACACTTGACACACTTCTGGGTGTGTCTATATAATAGATTCGGCAGAAACAGAATCCACTTGGAATGCTGCAAAGGTCAGAGTGAGTGTGTTGCATCTGAAGCGCCCTCACCGTCTCTGTGTTTCTTACCTTCTAGGACATACGGGCCGGTTATTAAAGTCTCTGTGCTTCACCAGTCTTTCCTTCCTGTTGCTTCACATCATTTTCCACATCACGTTGGCCAGTCTGGAAGCTCAACATCGTATCGGACCTGGTTACAACTGTGAGTGTTATGGTGATTTTTTCTTCATATTATGTATGAATAAAGCTGTGTGCTGTAATGCTTATAGAAATCTGTACAACAATTACATCATGAAATCCACAATCATTTGTGGTCATTTGGCAATCCTGTATGAGAAATACATATAAGGAAACTGTCATGGAAAATTACAAGTAAAGTACTTAATGAATGTTCAACAAAAATTAGGTATTTGGGCCCTATTTGTATGTTAGACATTATTAGTGGGCTTAATCTAAAAAAAACAAGAATATATATATATACACACATATATATATATACACACACACACACACACACACACACACACACATATGTGTATGTATATATGTATATATATGAATATATGTATATATATGTATATATGTATATGTATATATACACACGTACATACATACACACGCACATATATACACACACACACACACATATATATGGTGACTATATATGTATACATATATATATGTATATGTATACATATACATATATATATGTATATGTGTACATATATAGTCCCTGGAGCATATGGTACAGCTAGTGAAGCAAGACATATACAGTTTCTAACATGATTAACATGAGTACAGAAATTGAATAACTTATGACTGTGACCTCAGTCCTATTCTACTATTCTACCTCTATACTATTCTACAGTATAATGTAAGATTTCATATAACTTTATGGGAAAAATGTAGTGACACAGAGTTTCTTTTTTTTTAATTGGGAGTATTTTATTGCTACTCACAGGGAAATAGTATGTTTGTATGCATTATATTTTGAACTTATGATCTGAGAAAGTCAACATATATATTCATCTAGGTGATATCATCTTTCCAAAAGTAACGTGCTATCAGATAATTTGACTTCAGTTTTTATAGGATGTGTGACTGTCATTTGAAAAAACAGAAGCATTTCAAGTAGATGGAATACATTCCACCTGTTTTAAGTTAGGCCTAAAGAAACCCTGAGATATTTGAAAAAGATTATAATAACTGTTTTAAATTGTTAGTTTTTCTTTGAGGAACCTATTTGTAGGTTTTCAACTTCCTGATTTTTCATAAAGGCAACCACAAGTGATATGAAGTAAACCTATCCTTTCCTGTCAAATAAAAAAAAAAGGTCAAAATTCTTCATGAATCAAAGACTGTTAACATAAATATAGTGAAATATTCTTTAGCAAAATTCATATTTATAAATTATTCAGTATCCTTCACCACCTAACTTTTAGGAATCTACAGTTTACAGATCTAAAGTTAGTATTCATTTTGGCCATTTTATTGAATTCAAAATTCATTGGATACCAATGCCTATCAAAATGGTTTTGATTTAAAAATCTATGATTGAAGATATAGTTCTTGCTTTTCAAATTGAGATATAATTCATATACCACAAATTTCACCTATGTAAGGAATATAGTTCAGTGGTTTTTGGAGTGTGCAGCCATCCCCGCTATCTGATTCCAGAAAATTTTTATCACCCCAAAGAGAACCACCCCATGCATGGAACAGTTATTTCTCGTTCCCTTTTCACCCAGCCCTAATTTAATTTCTGCCTCTGTTAGGTTTACCTGTTCTAGAAATTTCATCAAAGAACTGTGTGATATGTAACCTGTTGTGTCTGGCTTTTCTCACGTAGCATGATGATCTCAAGGTTCATCCATGTTGTAGCATGTATTGCTGTTTTGTTCCTTTTCGTGGCTGAAGAATATTCCACTGTTAACATGGATTGTTAGCAATGTTGTTTTGCTGTTTGGCAAAAGTCAGCTCATTATTCAAAACTTGAAGAAATAAAGTGTTTAAATCATGACACTTTAGTTCCTTTAGTTATGCTATAATGATAAAAAGCATTTATTACATTTGGCCAGGTTCAGATCTTTTTGGACTTAGGAGAAATGTCAGAAGCTGTATTTTCTCATGTGTTTCCATCACAAATCCTTTGGAGATTTCTTAAGAAGGCATTCGTAGGATCATAAGGAAGGTTGTCTGAATAAAAGACTGTTTCATGAATAATGAGTTGTCTGCCACTGGAAGTATTTAATCACAGGATATATTACAACTTATCAGATTTTAAAATTTTGAGTTTATAAATATCTTGCCCATTTCTACTGAGCGATATTGTGGAAACAACTGTACCAGAGGGTGTCTAGATTAGGAAATGCACTTCATCATTTCTTCTGACCCAGAGTCTAGGTATTTCTGGTTTTTTTTTTAAATCAAAATGATGATTTGCCACAATTCTACAAAAGTCAGAACACAAATGTAATATGAAATGTTAAAACAGTATTCCCCTTTCCACATTTATAAATATATTTACTCTATGTATGGCCTCCCTTATGAGGTAGACACAGAGACAGACAGACAGGAAGACATACAGACTTACACACACACATACACATGGAAATTTGTTCCTCCCTTGTCTCCTCCTTCCCAGGCAAGGATCCAAATTGCCTGGATCCTGTGGATGGGCCCTGCATTAATGCCATGAGAAGTCCACACTTCTCAGTGGTGAAGGTATGGAGGCCATCTTTGGTGTATTCAAAGCTGGCCTCTTGACATAGCATTCTGTACAACTCAACCTTGAGTTAGGTCTGCCTTTACTAACCTCACATCCTAAATATTTGGGCTTGTAGATACCAAGATATTTCCATGTGTCTGTCAGAGATATTTTTATTCATGCACAATTACCTTCTGCTGTCATTGTTCGATGCAGTGTAACTTGAATATGTCCTGATCTCACATCCTGCCTTCCCTTCCTTTTTTGACATCTCCATACAAAAGCTCTATTCTGTTCCACAGAGAGCTGATATAATGGAGGTCATAACAGTAAAGTTTATTTCTACCACGTTAAATTCTAATGTGAAGTTTGTCCCTACAAAAGTTTATATTGCAATTTGTAGTTGCAGTATTTTTGATGAGGTCACCAACAGAGAAGGGATGCGCTAAAGACTGCGTTAGAAAAAGGAATTTGAACTCTGTGCTTTCAGTCATAAGCCCCTTGAAAGTGAGTTTACAGAAATCATAAATTTCTTCTGAAAAACGAGTGATGCATGTAACACTGTTGGCTCATCGGGTGTTACAGAGTTTTTTGGTCCAGTTTCGTGTGTAGCATTTAAAAGCAATACATTCTTGAAAAGGGATAAAAGGGACAGGCAAACAAACTTCAGAGCTTTGCAAACTAGGTTAGTCCAAAATTGACACAGACCAGGTTTTCAGCCTCGAGCATTTTTTAATGATCAAGTTATATAAACTCCAGAAAATACTGTTAGAGTGGGTAATGGAAACACTGACTTTTAATTTAGAGTTGACTTCACTTCAGTAATGTTATTGTTCCTTGACCATTTGGAGTTTCGATTACACCATCAGAGTTGTAAACACAAACCCAGCTAGTTTGATATCCCACATTTGAAGGGTAGCCCTTTTTTGGCATCTGTAGACACAAAGCAGCAAAATTTCAAACAAAAAGACACAACGTGTCTTGGCCAGCATTGCTGTGCATTTTGAATGCTTTCTCTCGGCTCAAGACATTGGTAAATGAAAATGCAATAGCCCACACAGGTCAGATTTCCCAATCATATTCAAATTCAAGACCACCATGTGCTCATTTATATGTGTTTAATTTTGTTTTCCTACCTATTCCTTTCCCCATTTGAAACTCATATACTCTTACCCTCATTATAGCAAAAGCTCCCAGGATCCCTCAGGAATCTAAGACACATGTCTGGGGGACAACAGTAGCATTTATAAATATTGAGTCATTGAAAGTTCTCGTTCCCCTAGAGCCCTGTGAATATTAACTGGCAGTAGTAAAGAGTTTTTCAAACCAGCCTATTTAGTTTCTGACTAGCTGGCAGGTTTGTTAAAGGTGCCATTGTGCAGACCTGAAACGTAACCCCCACACCCCCTCTTTCTCTCTCTTTCTTCATTTCCAAAATGGTGCTTATAGGTAAGTGAGGAAATCTATGGGGCAGGGGAGGGGGGAACCCGTGTAAATTTTCCTCAAACATGTGTTGTGCCGCTTACTAAAATATTTTCATTCCATCAAACCTATATTATTTAAATAAATGTAAACCCGGTTTCAATTATGTCATTACAGATTCCATAGAAGTAGTTTGTTTGACTCACTGGTGGATGTGTGGCAACATTAGTGAAATTTCAAGGCCAGTCTGGCTTCTTGTGCGGTGCTAAAGCACGTTATTGATCGGAAGGACCTTTTGAGTTTGAAACTCTGAAGGAGAAATCGGTGGTGATAATAGGTGCTATTTGTAGAGCGTCTACTAACTGGTAGGCCCCAAGGATCATTACGTTCCCTTTCTAATTAATGATTCCTTTTTCTTGTCACAGATGAGCCCGGATATCCTTAAGTAGGGCACTCCATACTCATGGCCCTGGTCCGTTCTCTGAGCAAATCTTTAGGGTAGGTTAGGGTCTGCAGATGGCCAGCTGTGCATTGCCTATGGGCACCCCCTGAAGAGTTGAGTGGGAGCTGCCATCCACTCCAGGCTCTGAGAGCCAGGCTGGAGTAAGCCGGATGCAGGGGATCATTTTATTGCCACAAAGAGGCAGTCTGCTGGCCAAGCCTTGCCCCGGTGGGGCTGTGCCTTTTATGAGCCATCTGCCCCAAGATGGTGCCTTTCTTTTGTATACATGCGGTGTCTGTCTGCTGGTGGCGCTGAGGTAGGGATGAGGCTAATGATGGATGAGACAGGGGTGAGGAGTGAGCGTGACGGTGAAGAAATGAGCAAGTGAGTCATCCACGCTGCCACACGTCTGTACTGGGATCTGAGCACTGACCTGCCTGGCTTTCCACTTTCTTTCCTTATTTATTTTTTTTTTTTTTTCTTAACGTGTATATGTTTACTTGGGGAGGGCAGGGGTAGAGAGAAGGAGAGAGAGAATCCCAAACAGGCTTCATGCCGCCAACACAGAGCCTGATGTGGGGCTCAAACTCGGGAACTGTGAGATCGTGGCCTGAGCCAAAGCCAAGAATTG